ATATATATATATATTTTATTTATGAGCTTCTCACTGTATCTATGAAATATATTAATCATATTTAATGTCTGTTTCTGATTCCCTTACAAGATAATACCCAATAAAATAATAGAACTATAAAAACGTTTATGTTTTAATAATAAATATTTTTTACAATAAATATTCCAGTCTTAGGATTCCTTAAGGCAACAACTAAGTAAATAGCTAGTACTATTTTTGGCAAGAATTTGTTAATGGATATAATTTAAAATTTCTATGAACACTAGTTTGACTGACATGAAACTAATAACTACGTCTGTTATAAATACCTACAAATACAATTAGGAACTATAAGTATTGTGCGAAAGCTTAATACTGATCATTAATATATTAATATATTAAAATATTTGTCATCACAGATAGTGCACATTAACACTATCTGTTTTCATGTTCTATTTTAATGTTTTTGCTGATCCGAATGCTGGGGATGGCGATTTGAATAGTGTTCGGTAGAAGATGTGTACTACATCTTATTTTAGAAACATTACAAATGTCAATACGGTTCTTTCTTGAATTTATTTTGCTCTCACTTTGTAGTGCATTTGTAGAGGTCTTGTTTTTTGTTTTGCTTTCATCTAGTGAAGATTTATTAGTAGAGATTTCTCCCTCGTTTCCAATATAAGTAACAATATCTTCTGATATATCTTGACCCAATTTAATTTTTCCATAATTTCCAATGTATTCAATAGTGCCACTTCCTTTTAATACTGTTATATCACAATAATCACCGACCACTTTTATAAGTCCACTATTTTCACTTAGTTTTATTTTACAGTTATTACCAGCAACTATTATCATTCTTTTATTATTTAAAATACTTAAATTCAAATCGTTTCCCACGTATTTTTTAATTTTATGTGGGCTCGATATTCTTTCCACTGGCACTACCATTACTACAGTAAATTAGAGTGAAACTGTAAAAACCTTCTCCGTCAAAGTTTCAAAGTAAAATGATCATTAGACAGATATTCGGGCGAATTTAAACTGTTGGATGGGTTATTTACCGTAACGTAATCGTGAGAACGGCGGAGTTCGCGGTCGTGTTGAAAAATGTCGATATGGGGAACTACCATTCTTTATAAATATTGGTGATTAGTTTAATACACCTAGGGGGTATTATTTAGATATTTTGATGATATAAAATGAAACGGCAATATTTTATGACTTAAGCTATTTAAACTTTTAATTTATTCTTGAAACTATTCTGAAGAAATCTTGTGCATTAGTGAGTTCACACAACAGACCTTTTCAAATATTTGGTTCCCGGGAAATTTCTGTATACAAAACTTGCACATTTCACAAATTTCTTGTTTCATTTTTCTAGAATACATGGAAGTTGTAGATAGTGATTGTTTATAAATCGGTTTAAGGAATTGAAATGAATTTTACTTGCACTTATGTATTGACTGAATTTACAACACCAACAAATTTGGAAATATTTTTGTAATCAATTTTTGAACAAATTTGACTGTTGTAGCTACAAAGCATACACTTCTATACATGCAGCAGAGTACAATTGCTTAAAAAATAATTATGAATAACGTGCATGCGAATGTCGGTGATATTCTGCATCTGACAAATTTAATTAAAAAAAAAAAATGAAAAAAAGTCGAACAGAAATGTGGTCAAATTTTCAACATTACTTTCTTTAAGTAAAATTTTATTTTTTTTTTAAATAAATAAATACCTATTTATAACTTAATCAACCTCGCTATTGAATTGTTTATTTTTATTATTGCCATTGCTTAAATAACTTTTCATGACTAAAGATTGGCTTTGACATTTTTTTTTTATGAAATGCGTAAATAAAATTTGATTAAACGTTATCTAGATTCAAGAAAAATTTTAAATAATTCCAAAATCAATTTCTATTCGATTTCTTATTAGTTAGTGGGTATATGACAAATCAAATTATATAAAGAGAGTAATACAAAATACTTAATTAATTTGTAGCTTTTGGTATCTCAGTTATGATGTAACATATTTATTCAAACCATTATTTGCTTATTATTCAAACCATTATTTGCTTATATATTTAGATACTTATAATAAATAATACTTCAAAGATGTCATTTGTAAATAAACATAATTTTTTATGCAGAATTTTTATTAGTGGTAATACAAAAATATAGCATTTAATATACAGCTGTGGATAAAATAAAGTGGCTCTTATTTAAAGGATAAGACAAATGTATATACAAGTTTCTTCACGGTAAGTCGCCTAAACGTTTCAGCGGAACCAAAGACAGTATGACTGAAATTTTGTTGAAGGGGATATCAGATATGCTCTTTTCAATGAAAATAATCCCATCAACGTAGCACTACCGGTTAAACTGGAAGTAGCTGTCAACTTCATTATTTTAAATGGAATATCCCATGGAATGTATACCATTACATTATCGACAAGACAAATTAAAAATAAGTTAATGCTTTTTTGTACCTAAATCTAACCGTTTTCGAGATAATCGATATTTTATAAAAATTTTGACAGATGCAAGCTATTCGAAACTTCCTTATATCTTTCTTCGTTCTGGAAGCTTTCACTTGCTTTTCGAAATACACAAAGAACATAAGATGCATTACCTTCCGCCAGTGACAAATAAGAAGTGGATCTTATTTGTGGAAGGGAGAAATGGGCGGTGATTATTAGACTCCTTCATTATAGCCATCTTTCTCTATCGCACGGATTTCTATGACTTTCTTTATCGCTCTCACGTAACGGCCGATGAACCATGGGAACTTTCCGACCCTGTAATGTGCTTGCTAATTATTTTTTTTGTCACAAAACTGATTTTTTCTAATCACATTTTGTCAACTCTCCATTTCCAGGGTAATGAACATGAATTTGAAATTAGTTTTGTTTGCGATTTTTTCAATTGAAAAAAATATTTTATTAATTTTCAGCTATCTCGAAATGACGGGAATTGGTAAAATTTCATAAAAACTTGAGACTCACATAAAGTAAATAATTACTAAAAATATTTTACAGTAATTCATTCATTATTTTATAATAACAATATCACGTTAATCACTACACTATGTGGGCGAACAAAATTATAAAGCTAACCCTGGAAACTTGTGACGTCAACCGAAAAATGACGTACATATTTACATTTTATATATTCCTTTTTTTTTACTTACCTAAAGAAGGAAACTTTTCGCTTCTCTTCACCAACTCGATCACTTGTATTTATACAACGTTTTACAATACACTTGCCCATGATAAAACAACTAACTATCGAAATCACAGCGATGCGTACACGTCAAATGCTAGGACACGACTGAGCGCTGGACACCAAATCAGGCTCCGAAGTGTTTTCACCAAAGTCGCTCTATAAGCCAGTCTAGGTGGTCTGTGGTATACTATATTTTTTTTTGGTTGGAGGTTAATGATCGCGCTCAACGAAGGCAATATTTTTTTTAGAAAGCTTTCATCGCGCAACTATTCTGTATATTGCTGCGTATTAATTATTAATACGCAGCAATAAGTAATAAACATATTTTAATAGCGGAAGACTTCAGCTATTAAAATATATTTTAGAAAATTATACTAAGTATCCCATTTTTTACGTTACATTTTGAAAACTTAAAACCGACAAAAAATATTTTAAATTCAAATGGGACATCCTGTATTTTTTTGGCATCATATTATAGAAAATCAAGGTCTCTTTTCACTGATATAGACATTGTAGGGGTTACAGTTTCAGTTTTCTCAGATATTTGCTGTTTACTTATTATGTTAAAAATATTATCCAATGTGCCTTGAAAGGCAAATATTGGTACTTACACCAGGAAAATTAGCGAAAATAAAAGAGAAACTCGAAAAAACTCCTATCAGCGAGATTATTGTAAAATTGTCTAAAGGAACATAATACAAGACATCTCTCGTCTCGTGAGTCAAAAATTTTTATTAGCTAACTTTTCTATTTAAACAAATAAGTGAGGAAAACAGTTTTTTCACTTTGAAGGGAAAAC